ACTCGCCCGTTAAATCGTGCATCGACACGCGCGCAAATTTCGGAAAACAATTAACGTAGAGGAAACGTACGATCAATTCCCGAACGTCGACGTCGGAAATCACGTGCGCGTTTCAACTCGCGCGCTAAATCAAATCACGCGTAAATCGAAATCCACGGCTCGTAACTCAGCATCGTGCTCCGGCTTCTGCGCGATTGTATATGTTGCGTGGCTGCAACAAATTTCTCTGTCTCTCTATTACATACGGGTCGAAAGGGGGGATGAAAAATATCCGGATGAAGTATCGAAGAATATCAAATATGTCACTGTGTCACCGGAAGATGTCTGCGCTCGAACGAGCTTACAATTCCAACGTTCCGTAAAAATTGAGAGAATGTTCCATGAGCAAATACGTAATACTAGAAGTCGTTTCTATTGTTGAACGCGCACTGTGGAATGACGAGCTTGCACGGTGCTCACCTTCGAAGAGAAATACGGGCAACGCTACTGCGGTCCGTCGAAGTCGCGGAATGACTGTGAATGACTTGAAACCACAGGCGGCGAACCTAACGAGTCGTCAGTGAAAGTTGGCCGATCGCTCGCAAGTCCAGAGTTTCGATGGCTGGCAGTTCTGCGATTCGCACAAGGCGGACTGCATGCGAAAATGCCTTGCATTTAATACCGATGATAATTATTTTCATCATCAGTATCGCATTGTTATTTTTCATAGTTTCTTGATATCGGGAAAATTATACGACAAATACGAAAGAAAGAGACATCTTGTGGACAAATAAATCTTTTCAGACGAGTTAAAATTATTTATAAATATTCGATAAAGAGAAAAATTTTATTACATCATTTTAATCAAAACATCATTTTAAAAAAATATGTGCGGAATAATAAAATAATTATATGATGTGCATTCGATCAAATCAGTGAAATTTAATTTTTTTTATTAATTTTACAAACGGAAAACGCGATCGTATTCTTTCTACTGAACTTTTGATAAACACAAAATGGTGTCTCGTGATATTCGTGCTTATGAGAATGATATCGTGTGAAAATACTTGGTAAAATAAGCGGATTCGAGCAAATGGATAAGCGGAGCAGAAAGATAATAATGTCAATGGATAATTAAGTGGAGCGGATTGTTACATTGAAAGATTGGCATATGTAGCAAGAGCTTTCCAATTGTGTGCCGATCTTAATATGCGTAGACTGATTGAATACTTTCGTATCCTTTCAAATGAAAGCGTATGATAGTAGCTTAGCAAATAGACAAGTAATAATTTGAAGGCTATTTTGTAACTTTCCTGACACACTTTATTGTTCTTATATTTTTCATAGTTTTCCAAATCTTCGTATATTACATTATTATATCAGATGTCACATAATACAAAATATACAATTTTAATTTTTTCAAATTGTTAGTAAAAAAATTTTTTAAAGTGTTAAATAATTTATAATATACAGAAAATAGCAATGTACATACATTTTTTATCACTTTAAAATAAAATAATCGTCTTAAATAGTTCTAATACAAAAAAGTAACGACGCAAATAATTTTCAACAATTTAATCTCACTATAAAACTCACTTTCAGGCTGTAAATTATATAATAAGCACTTTAACACGCAATGTTATTGCTACACTGCCTTGTGTATTGAATATAAACGTACAATTCTCTTTTCCGCTGTAAATTCTGTACTATTTTTGTTATTATTATTAAGAAACATACAGTACAATACAGTCAATAAACGTTGAATTAATGAATCGTATACACTTTATCTGCATGAAAAAAAGCATGATAACATAACAAAAGAAGTTAAAATTAACTTTTTGATTTAACTTTTTGACACGTAGACAGATACAGGAACAAAAATAATGTGCATAAATGAGTTATCGCTATATTTTACTGCTTTTAAAACACACTACCTTGCTCTTATTCATGAAACCATATGTCACGTTTGTTTATTGACATATTCTATTATTCTATAATGTATGTGTGCACATATATTTCTTTTAATCAATGTTAATGTTATTTTTTAATCAGATCAGTTTCTATCAATGTCATAAATTTTTATTACACACACATGTACACACGCATGACATACACAAACGCAACTACACATTTAAAAGTGATTTATTCAATTTAGATCAGAGCATAAATTATACATAAGAGACATTTTTTTTAACAAACGTTTTGTATATAAAAGAACTTTTCAAAAAAAGAAGAAAGTTATAAACGTTTTTTAAATTTATTTAAATACCTTATACCTCGATTCATATTTTTGCTGTGAATAATTTATTAATTGCAGTTAAAAAAATGTTTATAAAATATAATTCAGGAAAGAACATAATAAAATACAAATATATAATCACACAAATTTTTTTGTTCGTGACATTTTACCTTAAATTTAATTTGGAAGTTGATATAAAAAAATTCAAATATAAGAAGTATTATATATTTATTATTATATATATATTATTATATATTTATTATTATATATATATTATTATATATTTATTATTATATATATATTATTATATATTTATTATGTGTCCATTATAATTTTGTTTGTATAATTTTTATAACCAATTAAATTAATGTACTATGTTAATGTACTATGTTACAAAAAAGTAGAAATTAACATATTAAAATTATATTATCTGTGAGACAATTTTATTAATGACATTTTACATACAAAACAAAATAAATATTAAATTTATCTTTGAATTTATCCAAATATCTTTATATCGAATATCCACGAAGAAAGATGGTAGCTAGTCCTAATAGTGATCTAGTGAAAGGTGTAACATTCTTTAAGGAATCCATGTGAATTTTGCGCATGTTATAATAAGACGGTTGTCGTGAGCGCATCTTGAATAGCCATTTAGAATGCCTTTTTCGATCGCCATCATGATTATTATACCGTAAAGAAATTTTATTGGTAGCTGTAACATAGAATATTGTTAAATTAAAATCCAATTTAAAAATATATTTTAAGAATATCCATAAATCTTACAATGCAGTGAAAAAAGAGAAGTTAAAAGAATCAAATTCTATGAAAATGTAAAATTTTGCATAGAATGATTGACATAAAAGAAATTGATAATTAAACGAGTTTCATTCAGTTCACACGTGACGAACAGGTTGTATTAAAATTATTGCGAATGTGTGCTATCCGATTTCGTGCTATTTTGAATTTCATGAACCAACATATACATATATATTTTGCATACTTCTCTGCGCTCATAATTTTTTGTACGTAAAAAAAAATCACTCAGATTTATTCGTCGATCTAAAGATTAACTGTTGATTATAAAGATTATTATAGTGTAAAATCTTACGATATTGATTGATAGATTCTGAGGAAGCTTCCGCAGAGGCGCTGTTATTTGAATCCGACTTTTGGCGGTGGAGTTGCAGGTGCAGCTGCAGACGACGGTCGTCCAGGCGGTCGACTGACAAAGATCCCGTATTTCCGAGGCGGAGGTTCCGGTGGTGCGGACGGTGGAAATGACGGTTCGAGAATCTTAAAGTCATATTTCATACAGATACAATTAGTTATTCTTTCAATTAATCTTAGTTAAGACTAAAATCTTAATGTCCACATGAAAATATTCGTTTTTGAAAACTTAACGATAATAAATTGCAATTGAAGTCGAATATAATTTAATAAGATTTAGTTAGATGAAACTGTCGAATAAATGATCATATAGAATATAAATGAATATTTTTATATTATGAATATTTATATTATTATATCGTGAATATTATTATGAATATTTTAGATTTAAAAGAATTGTTTGGAAGAATTCTTTTTCACTATAATTTCATTCATAATATCGTATCTATTGATTGATAAATTAATTGATAATGTAAAAAATTTTAAATTTCTAGTTAAATATTTTCTTTTTTAAATGAAATGCTTTATTATTCACCTTGAATTTCTCGAACGAATTCGTGGCTCCTTCAAATTCTTTTGAACAATTACCTTCGAGGGTTGCGATAGTACCGGCTGAGCATGTAAGTAATTTTTCTGAGTGTTTGTACTAAAAACCATCTACGATTTAATAACAATTACTGAAGCTGATAAAAAGAAATAACTGTTTAATAGACATCAAGAGACGACCATTACTTTTTCAATGATTTTCTCCAATCCAGTAATTTTATTGGATGTCGTGATTAATTCTGTGCTAAGTCTATGCATCTGAATAATAAATTTAATATTTACGAAACAAATATTCTAAGTTTTAACAATGTAAATAATTCTAACTTACTTCATCTTCTAAATGTTTTGCAGTTATGTTTTGCGCATCTGTCTATAAAATAAATAATCGTTAGTTTCACATATAAAAAAGACAATATATCATTAAAACAATGGTGCTAACCGTTTTTACAATTACTTCCTCGAATTCCGCCTTCTTGTTTTTCAACAATATCAATCTGTCCAATTTCTAAAAATAGTTCTTGATAAAAAATGTATATAAATATACTAAAAAAAATATTATACTATTACATAAAAGATGGAAGATGATTTTAAATGAGTATGTAAATATTATGAGCAAAAAAATTAAACTTACTGTTTTATTCTCTATGATTGTCGTTGACATCTCCCGATTTGATTTTTCAATTCGTTTTATTATCTTGAAAACAATTGTATTGAAAATTAAAATTAAAAGTATTAAAATTAGTTTGAAATTTAAAAGACTAGAGAGACTTATATACTTCTTACAATTCTTAATTAGTCATTAGTTGTATAAAGAAATAAACTTTTAATTAATTATATTATATTATATACATTTATACATTTATTTATAAATTATAAATTATATTTAAATTTATATTTTTTTTATATAAATATTAATCACAATATATAGTTAATATAAAAAATAAATTTTATATAAAATATATTTTTTTCTTGCTTTTATAATCGTAATTTATATAAGTTACTTACATTATTAGCATACCATAGCGCTACGTAAAACAAAATGTACATCAAAATACAGACATACAAATTATCCAAAATATATAATCGTATAAATGACTGCAAATGAGAATAACAATAAAGAGATGTAGAAGTAATCGTAATTAATTGGAAATTATTTGGCTTCAATTAAGGAGGTTACCTGACGATCATAAATATCAACGAGTTTCAAAATCGGATGGGATCTCGACAGTTGAGAGAAATAACATGGTCTCTGCGAAAACATCTTTAAGAGCGCAATCCATTAGCAAAGTAAAGAGTTACGAAAATCAGGAAAACTCGAATATATTGACAAGCATAGAAATCGAGCTACGTATTTCTGCGATAAAATGTGGAACGAGAATTTCCAAACGATTTGACAGCATTGTGTGAACGTGTCTCTTTAGCCACTATCCACTCGTGAAAAACGGAATATCGAAAAATTGTGCTGAACTTCATATAACAAAACGATAAACAAAAGTTCAGTCATATAAATACTCTTGAATAAGAAGATCGCACAAATTTTTGAGATTTACTAGAAAAATTAAAATTTTAAAAATATTTCTTATAAAACGTTTCTCTGTTGAAATGTTGAATGATCTGACACTTTGCATTTAAAGGCCCTCAAATTACGATGTTTTATGCATTTGGTATCGTAGCTTCTGAAGAGCTTTCTTATCTTAGGATATTATCTCCCCTGCGTGAATTCGTATAATAACACCTCGCGGGATCGTGATAATGTAATCTCCTTCATATAAACATAATTAAGGCGCGAAAGTGCGTGTTGAAGCAGGTGACTTCATACAGCGATGGCCGCGTTTATCGATTGCAGAGAGGTTACGACACGAGTGATACGGATAATTTCCACGATAAGAGAGAAAGCGTAATTTCGATAAGTGAGTAGGAAGCGCGACAGCGCAGAGAACGCATAGGAGTCGTAATTATCCTTATCATCGTTATAATCCGCTATTATTATAAGTGTTACATTCTCGAACTGTCTCTAGTGCTTATCGTACTTAAATACTTATAACGGCTTAAAATGCGATCTATAATCTTTCTCATTTTTGTACAACGCAACTCACAATCCCTGTTTACGAGAGCCTTAATTATTACGCAAGCAGTTTCGCTTTTCGACGACGAGCTTTATAATTTTACGAACCGAAATTTCAAACGTCAGCAGTGTCAGCACTGCCACGTCGTGATCATTAAAATGTACTATTCCGCGGCCTCGACTCGGCGAGGGATCGCAGAGATAATGGCACAGGTATTTAAATCCAACTTTACGTTACGCAGGCACTTTCGTCATATCGGGCCTGATACCAGACGACGAAAATTTAACGCGCATTTAACGGAAACTTAAATAAAGCCGCGAGTAACTAGTAACTATCGAGAAGCGGCAAGAATCAAAGTCGAGGAGAAAAGAAAATCTAAACTACTGTTGAACAAACACTCGTCGTTGAAAGTCGCGTTCGTCGGGTTTGCCTCAAGTGCTCCCTCCCATCCTGTTCTCAGCTCAAAGCAAATTATGAACTAATCCACGAGGGATCGTTTGCTTTTTGCATCAAGCACCGAGTCGGCTCCATCGACGTCCTCCGATTAAATACACAAGGATTATCACATAAAAGGCCGCCCGGCATGCAGCGACAAACCGCACCTAACCGTTACCTAAGCGCGCGCGCAAAACACACACACACACACACACACACACACACATGCGCGCGCGCGCGTGTCAGTGTGACGTATCGACC